TGGGATAAATATTCACGAGCATTGTCACTTCTTAATATACAGATAGACACACCGAATTGAGTTCTTATTTCTCGATAAAATTGTTCAAAAATAGAAAATAATTAAGATTTATTCTTCATTAAAAGTAATCACGTGCGATGTGAAAAATCATCAATAAAGGTGACAAAATACCTATACTCAAGAGTAGAGACAATACACGATGGATCCCAAACATCAGTGTGACTACGAGTGTGTTTTTCAAATTGATATGACTCACAATGTAAATTAGATACCTTTGATAAATTTGGCACTAACTTATATAGTTTGGAAAGACTGGGATAACCTAACTGAGCATGGATAGTGAGTGGAGAATCTTAGACTGAGCATGTCTAAGATGACACTGAGAGGTGATAAAGGCCTTGAGACTCACATCCAACGCCAATCATCCGTCCTAAACTCCAATCCTGCAGGGTAATTTTTTTTATTGAAGGTGACACTACAATCAAGAGAACAAGTTAAACAACTGACTGAAAGTAAACTAAATGCACAATTAGGTACATAGATGACATAAGTAGCAAAGAGGAAAGGTAGAATTTGAATAGCACTAATTCCTTCGGACCAGGTTTAGGAATCATTGGCTGAAGTTATAGTAGGTAAGAAACTAGAGGTAGAGAGGGAAGAGAAAAGATAATTATTACCAATAACATGATCAGACGCATTCGAATCAAGGACCCAAGGTCTAAGAGAAGATGACTAACAAAAGAAAACATATGTATTACTAGTGTGTGCTATCGAAGTTGTAGAATCTGAGTTCTGATACCACCTGTGGAAATCATCATAGTTTGACGTAAAGTTCTTAGGAGTAGCCATGAGTATCTGGAAAAGAGAAAATATCACGTGAACCAGGTGAGAAAGGATCTGTTTGAATTGGATTATAATTTTATGCAAGCAGAAAATAAAATATGATACCAGATCTAGAACAGTTGTACGATAGCGAGTGGGGAGGTGGAAAATTTCCTAGATCCGCCGCCAGACGTGCTGGAACGCGTGAGCCAACGTCAATGCATGAGACCCACGCGCAGGGAGGCGAGAGGAACATTGGGGCGCATGCGTGAGTTTCTAAAGGTGGTAAAAATTGCAATGACCGGATCGGTGGTGGTGAGTCGGATGGTGGGGTCAGTTTTCTGGGATGTCGCTTGTAGTTTACTGGAACAGTAATGAAGACAGTGGCAACATGGTGGTTACCCAAGATTTTTGAAAAGTGAGAGACAAATTGAAGCGATGACATAGTTTACAAAAAGAAAATTTCTCATCGGAAGATAGTGAGTCAATCAGGTAAAGCACGATGAAGAAATAATTTCCTCTTAGAAGGCTCTAGATACCATGTTGAAATAAGCGAGACTAAGCGATATTTAGATTAACCGTGTGTCGAATAACACAATAGAAGATGAATTGTATAGGAAAAAATACATATCGTAGTATTAATTACATATATATATATATATATATATATATATATATATATATATATATATATATATATATATATATATATATATATATATATATATATATATATATATATATATATATATATATATATATATATATATATATATATATATATATATATATATATATATATATATATATATATATATATATATATATATATATATATATATATATATATATATCAACAAACCCTATCCTTTTTACTAGCAGAAACCCTTCAAATCGTCGTCCTAGGAGATCTAATAGAACATCCAATCTAGCATTCTTACTGGGCATCCAAATAAACGCCTAAATTTTAATAAACTTGAGCGAGGGAGGTAATGAGAGTAACAACCTCCCTTGCGTTAGTATCACTACCATCCTCTGCAGAATCAAAACTAGACTAAGGACTATCGTTGAGTACACTTGGGTCATAACAGAAGGATAAACCTCCAAAGGGTTCCTATAAAAAATTTCTAAAAGGTTTGGTGGTTAATATCAAACGACGAGGATGAATCTCCATTGTTAAATTCAGCCAACGCATTTACAAGAACATTCCCCAGGCTGACCATTATGGGGAAAATAAAGGTACAATATATGGGTAAGCAAACATAAAAGACCTGAAGAAAGAGGATAGGAGGTCGAAGAGGACGAAGATAATAAATGAAACTTAAGAGGCATAGTGACTCGAAGACACTAGCCATAAACTTGAAAATGGATGAAAAGAACGAAGGTCGTCGGGGTTCCCAAGAGAAACGAGGTTACAAGATAGCAACAAGTTCTATGGGCTAATGATAATAAAAAGATCTTTTAAAAGCCAATATGTTTTTATATAGGAGAACAAGCTAAAACAATCAAAGATCCAAATCACATAATTGGAGTAGATGGAAATCAACAATCAGATTTGTGCATTGGAAATGTACCGACACTTAAGTGCACTCAAGTACGCTAACTTGTAAAATGGGAAGCCATGTAAGTTGAATCATACAAAGCGACGAGACGACAAAACCAACATTTAATTCACTTATCTCCCACACCCTTAACAATAGGATTCAGAGGTCTCTCTGGTTATCAGTTATCAGCTTAACACTTTGCAGCCACCACGAATTCAAAAGAATCTTTGCTCAGCACTTCACAATAGGGATGGCAAAATGGGCCGCCCGTCCCGCCCCGCCTTAAGTCCGCTAAAAAATGGTGTGGGGCGGGCAAGCCTGCCAATGAAAATAGGCTAAAAATCTAATTCGCCCCGCCAAGGTGGCGGGTTGACAGGAGGAAGGTTTGCCTGCCTGTTTTTTATTTATTTATTTTTCATTTTTTAAAATAAATTAATAGGTTTATTTTTACATTTCAATTAGAATTTTCACTTATTTTTTAGAACAATATTTTATAAAGCATCTTTTTAATAAAATTTTACTTAAAAAAAATATTACATATATTCACAAGTAAATGTATAAAATAGAATCATCAACAAGTATTCCAAAATATAGTTTAAGTATTAACCTTCAACCAACAAAAAATGATTTTAATGCTTGATAACTACGTTGGCTGGGTAACTTGGCCTTTTTTTTTAAGACTTAAGACGGGGCGGGATCGGCGGATAAGAGGGCACAAAATCCCAACTCAACTCGCCATTTTTTGGCGGGTGTACGGGCTGACCCGTCGATTCACGACTAGTTTTGCCACCCCTACTTCACAACAAATTTGTGGGCAACTATTTTGAGTCTACCAAAGGTCCAATGAAGGAATCCCAATACCTATTTGACCCTGAAGTATGTATATTTATATGTGCAAGACTTAAGGTGAGGACTTGGATCTTAAGAGTGTGCTCTTCTCAAGTTCTCAAGTTTGAATCACGCTAGGCACAAACTATTTATATGTTTGACCAAGTCCATATAAAGCTTTGCTCTAGTTTTGAATACCCCTCCCAAAATGGACAATGGAATTAATCCTCCTAAATTAGCTGATCGCAAGATTAGGTACCGTAATTTAAAAAATAAAAATACACTCATACTTTTCATACTTTACTTTACACGACTTTAGACTCATTTAAATAACATTAAATAACTTTAACGTTGAAGTATTAATTTTATAAATCCATCCTATATTCTAGCGCATCAAAGATTTCCGATGCAATCAAGAATCCAACACTCTACTCCAAACATAATTTTAACTGCAATTCAGAAAAAATATATTTGGCAGAAGATATATGAATTGAAATAAGTAAAACATATTCTATTGTAAAATATATATTAAAGAGAGTTTTGATATCATCATTCTAAAGATTTAATTCATATACACTCATAAGTTATATATTCTTGAAAATATTTGACTTATCTAAACATATTCATGTTCACAAATTGTTGTGATAGTTATTTGTGTATATATTAATTAAACTCTCATTTTTAATTAATACTAGCATTAACATGCATTCTAAGAGCATAGGTTAATAATCTATTTATAGAAGTAACCATTTATAATGCGTGCATTAGTATTTTACATTGAGTTTTTGAGTTAATTTATCTTATTTTAGAAATCTTTAATGTACCATTTAAGTTATTAATTAGTGGTGTTAATTTTAATGATAAAGAGAATGTTATTTATTAAAATAATTTAATTAATAATAAATAATAAAAATAGTTACACGAATATAAATATAATATAATGTAAGAAGTAAGTTATTAAAAAAAGTAATAAATATAAAATACACAAATAATTTAAAACAAATAAATTTTTTTTTTTTTATAAAACCAAAGAAATAGAAGTATGGATTTGAGTATATTCAATTCTTTTCTTCTGTGGTTTGGGCTTTGGTCTTAAACGATTTAAAAAGAAATTAGAAGTATCAATTTGAGTGTATTAAATTCTTTAAAAATATAAAGTTGAATTTATTCAAATTATTTTTTCTTTATGTAGAATCATTAATTTGTGACCTTAAGGGTTAAGACAAACATTATTTTATTTAACTCAATTTTTCTTCTTTTACTATCATTAATTTGGACTTTTAAGACACAAATTAGCAAACATCATTAATAATAACACATACTCCATTTATTTCTTATCTTAAGTAATCATAGTAGATATTATATATATTTGAACATATGTTAAAATATATATATTATGATTAATTAATATAGCAAACAAAAACAAAGCAAAATAAAAATACCGTTAAACTTGTTTGATTTGATTTGATTTTTTTTGATAAAACCATGGTTGGGTTAAATTAAAAGGTGGGAGTCCGCCAAGCTCAGCATCAACATCAAGCTTACCTCACTCACAAGTACGGACAAAATGACGCGTGTCTCCTCGACCCCCGAACAACGCGCTTTCTTTCTCTCTCTTCTTTTTCTTTTTCTCTCTCTCTCCAAAATACCCTCCACCGCCCTATTTATCACCCTTTGTCTCCTTCCTTTTTCTTCCCCATTTCACCTCTCTTTATTTCTATTTCCCTAACTAAACACAACACACACTACTACTATAGTAAACTTCATTTCACTCTCTTAAACGCACCGTTTTCAATTGAAACTTCTATGGCATCATCTGATAATTTATCCGGCATTGAACCGTGGATGTTTCGCCCTGCGGTGAATGACACGTGGCTCGCCGAGTACGTAGCTCGCGACACCGAAACCTTCACCAAGGCTCTTCAAAAAACACTCTCCACTTCACCGGAAGATGCTTTCTCTCCTTTTTTAAACCTTGTTAAAACTGACTCAGCCGTTACCGCTACACCAACGGTTTCCAGCCTCTCCGGCTCCGACCAGGACTCCGCTCCGAAGCGTCAACGTGTAGCCTCCGGGAAGATCTCGAAGAGAAAGTCGCGTGCCTCGAAGAGGTCACTGACGACGTTCATCACCGCCGACCCTGCCAATTTTCGGGAGATGGTACAGCAGGTTACCGGAGCGAGATTCGGTGCGGGTTCGAATATCTCAATGGCACCGATTGTGAAGCCGGAGCCTCTTAGAATGGTGGGAGTCACCGGTGGAGGGAGGTTTTCTACGGAGGGCGGAGGTTGTTTGCCGACGCTTGACACGTCAGCATTTTTACTTGACCATGTCCATAACCGTCAACAACAACACCAACCGAATCAAGCAATGGTTGGTGCTAACTCTGATGGGCCTGAGAATTCTGGGCTGGGCCCACTTTCGTTCGGCCAGCCCATTGGAGGATTGGATGACGACGCTGGTTTTGTTTCTGCTGGTTTAGATTTTGAAACTTTCTCAAGCTGCTTTCCCACCTTGGAATCGTCGTGGAAAGTTATGTAAGAGATGAAATGACGAAATTGTCCCTCAATTTTTCCTTTTCGCTTTTCCCCTTTTTGCCCCCATCGTGGGTTTGGAATTGGATATTGGGGTTAGTAGCTATAGCTAGGATATGATTGTAAATTAGGGAGAAAAGGGAAGGGAATGGATATGGAAATGGATGTAGAATTTCCTTTTTCTGTGTAATTTGTATTACATAGTTGTTTTATTATTATTAGTATCAACTATCAAGTACTAAAAACAATGTTGTATCTTTGTTTAGTTTAATTAAACTAATTAATGCATTCCCAAGTGTGTTGTTTGTTATCATATGATCATAGAGTTTAGTTAATTAATTTTTCTTAAATGCATATATTTATTTATAGATGAATTACAAAAACGAATGAACTTAATGGATAACTTGTGAAATTTATTGGGGAGTAGAATTGAGTCTAAGAAAGAGAGAAGAGTTGGTCTTTGGTGGTAAAGGGTGGCTTGGTGTGTAAGTTTGAACTCAACTTTTGTTTGCTTTCTATTTCTTTGGGTTTCCCTTATTTTGGGTGGTGCTATTAATGCTATTTTGTTGTGATTTCAGTTTTCAGCTGCATTTAAGTTTGGCATTCTATCATTCTATGCTCTGCAGTTATGGGGGTCCATAAAACTTTTGATATAAATAGATGTATTAACTTTCATTCAAAGAATACTTGAAATACATTAAAACCAAAAACACATCAGTATTAATACGGTTAGAATCAGGCTAGTGTTAGTGTTGATATGTAGCTTTCATGTCACCGAAATCTTTAGTCAAAATTAATTTAAATAACTAAAGTTTCTAATAAATAGATAAATCTAACTCATTTCTGATCACTTTGTAAGTGACCTTGCACATTCTTACTAATTCTCACTAATTTCTTTTCTTCTTCCATACTCTCTCATTTTTTTTCAAGAAATAAAAAATATTTATATAAATAAAGAGAATGAAATAAAGAATCATGGCGTCTAGTCACTGTAGTGTATTTGACTATTTGCGATTTTCTTCTACAAACATACCCATGTGACCATGTGAGAACTTGTTAATAGATTATATAAATCATTATTTATTTACTTATTTATCTATAGTACTAATACATGTTGATCTTTAATAATATGCCATTATGCTCTGCGTAGAAAATCTAAAAACGACCAAGTCTTCAATACATGGGTGCTTTTTATTTTTATTATATTTAATTCAATACTAGTAGATATTAAAATTAATTCTACCATCAACTACTATTACTTTAATATCTAAAGCATGTAGAGTTCTTACTTAAGTCAAATTAAAAAGATTTATAATGGTAACAACAAAACACCTAATTGTATTAGGTAAGAGAATAGTCTAACCTGAGTCTTAATGCCATGCATCTAAACTTATTTTTTATTTATTCATTATGTACACCTTAGATAATTTTCTTTAAAAAGAATGCCAAGTGTCGATCCACTAAGAATATAAAAATCTAACAATATATATATTATTAACAGGATATATATCTAGCTAGATGTAACTTGAAAGAGAAATATTGAATACGTAGGGTTTCTAGAAAGGTAGAAAATAAGAGAAAAAGGTATGGCCACTATTAAAAATGAATTAATTAAATCAGATAAATTATTGGATATATTTATTTCTTTTTCAGTAATTGGATCATCATTTGGAATCTTATCCCTATTCTGTTTACTCAAAAGATATCACCATCTTGATTGGTGTAGACTTATTTCCTTTTTAGTGATGCAAACATGATTTTGAATTTTTTTATTCATATAAATAAATGGGCGAAAAATAATATTCAAAATAAATTAATTTATATTTGGTTATTCAAAGAAAAGAAAGAACTCCACATATGCATAGAACACTTTATAAGTTGCGTATTAAATTTCAATTGAACCCTTCAAAGAGGTCCAATAATTACTGCCAAGAAGAAACGGGAACAACAACCAGTATAAGAAAAAGAAGTGACGAACGCAATAACGTAATATATAATATATATATATATATATATATATATATATATATATATATATATATATATATATATATATATATATATATATATGGGTGAAAAAGAAGATAGAGATGCTTTTGTGCCCCACAACCAGATCATTTATTATAAAAAAATGATTTTCGTCCAATGTGGGAGTAGGGGGGATTGGAAAGGGAAAGAAGTAAAGTCGTGTATGAAGGTAGGAAACACCCACTTATACGTTATTCTTTTCTTTTTCCCAAATTATTTGCACTAATTGTGCCAAAAAATTTGTGTTCAATATAGGGTTCATAAGTGGGTTTAGAATAGATAAGATATGGAAATATTATAATCTTATGTTAAACAAGTAATTTGGTGTAAGCTACTTTTTTAAAATTATGTATCGGTAAGTACTGTTTTAGAGTTATAATTCGTGACGAATAGTATCTATTTGTAATTTGTAATGATAGATATTTAGTAACTTGTATAAACTTTTAAAATGGAATGAATGCTAGCTGGAATCATAAATGGATCATTTTTTTTATACTATTTCAAATATTTTAAAATATATTAGAGTTTTTATTGGAGGGTAATTCAATATTATTTAAATTTGTATAAAATGGATGGAAACTTGAATGTAAGAAAAAAAAAAGTTTAAAATTTTTTAAAGAGAATAAGAATTTTGTAATGTGATTTTTAAATTCGAAATAACTTATTTATAAAATATATTTGTATTGTTTCGCCTATAGCAACGTTTTTTAATAGTTGCAATTTTTCATTCAACAACACTTCACACGGTGTTGCATGTTTTCGAATTCAAAATCAAACTCAAGCAACGATAAAAAAAACAAGAGCAACATCCATTTACCATATACTGGTCAAAGGCCGTCTGTCGGCTGCTGGAGTACCACCGTATAACACTGCAAATATTTTAATTGTTCTGATACATTGTGCCTAAGTGTTCAAGTGCTACCTATAAGTCACCACTAACACCTCTACCCCACGCCCTTAGACCTGGTTCCTGAGCTGGAGAGTTTGCAATATTGACTAAAGGTTGAGGATGAAGTTGATATGCGCACGCTTTTTCAAATAAAGTAGTCATTGACGCCCTAATTTAAGCATTTTTTATTTATTTATTTTTACTTTTATTTTCATTTACTTTTTTGATTTATTTGAAATGAGTTTTAATTCATTTTGATCCAAGTTTTTTTACACAAAATCTCTAAAAATGCATCACATATATTTTTTGCATAATTTTTTAAATAGTTTTTGCATTTAATTGATATTTTCTTTTATTTTTCATTTAATTTTTATTTTTTTATTTTCTTTTTGATCATTTTCAAATACTTTTGCATCCAACTTTTGAGATTCAATTATTCATGTCTTTCTTAACTTCTCATAATTTTCTTAATCATTTGTTTTTAATTTTGATATTTATTTGGAGTTTTCCTTTTATTTTTCATTTTAAATCATTTTAAAACCATCTTCTTTGATTTTTATTTTTATTTTTATTCATATTTTTGAATATTTTTTATTTGGCTCTTGATGAATGCTTGGTTGATCATGTCTTCAACATTTCAAATTCTTGATTGATGGTTCTTTGGTTGATTCAATCTTCTTTGGTCCAAACATGCTAATAAATGATCATCTGATCATTTTTAGTACTTTGTATCAGAGATAGGTTATCCCTTATTGGATCATGCTTTAAGTCTTTGGCTTGTTGATGGATGATCCCTACATGATTGCCTAAACTTTATTCTTCATCTCTTTCTCCTTTTGTTTTTAACTTTTGTGTTGAATGTTTTAGGAGGTTAACTTTGTGTTAGTTCTCTAACATGTCTAGCACATAAATTGTTATTAACCGGTCTCAAATATGTATGACTTCTACATGAGCCTACTTACAATTGCTTAACATAGCGCTAAATTGTTCCGATGCGATAATTGATCATTAATCTTGATCACTAACTATTAACTCACTGACTTTACTTTGTTTCCCTTTAAATTGTGCAATTTATTTTCTTGGCTTTTATATTCTTGCAATTTACTTTTATTTCCCATCTATCATTTGTTTTACTTCATGCACTTTATCTTTATGCCTTTTATTTTTTTTTATATTTATTTCATTTGTTTTGTTATCATAATTTAAAAAGAACAAAAACATGAAAAAAATGAAAAGACCAAAAGATGTAACTTCTCATTTGTAACCCCAAGTTTGGACTATGGACTGTGTGATTGACCATAGCATACTTGGAGTAGTATGAACAATATTAGACTTTGAATTTTGACCTTAGCTTTACATGGAACATCCTTATGGATTTGGGGTATTAATTTCAAGAGCTTGGTTCATGGCACTGCCCTAAAGAAGAAGAGAGACATGTAACCTCTGTTTCATATTTCCTTCTTTAGCTTATGACACTTTGCACACACATGGATTTTTCTTTGGCTACCTGACAACGAGACCATTTATTTCATGTAATCCCTTGTATTTTTCATATACCCCTCTCCCCTTTTGATGTACTTTCTTTATCTTCCAGCTTTTCTTTGGTTTGATTTTGCTTGCTAGCTATCCTTAGGGACTAGGATCGACCTCACCATTTTCTCAATCCCTTGATCCAACGTCAAGTGATATTTTCTTAATAAACCCTTGATCCAACGTCATGCGGAATTTTCTTAAATAAGCTAAAAAAAAAGATGTTAAAGTATGATTAGAATTGCTCGCCACGAGCCTTAAGTGGTGAAGGAGTGAGAATGAAGTTTTTCTGCCCTCAATCTGAGTATTTTGGACACAAGACGCTTGACCATGTAGTTTGAAATATTCACCTTTACCCATAGTATTTAGTGCAATTCAAGTCAAAAGACAATTTCTTCTCAAACCCCAAAATCAATCTCAACTCATCAAACTCTCTTTTTGCGCCTTAGGGCATCATTCTGAAAATCCTTTTTCAAGGTAAAATCAACTAGCACACACACTTATTTTTTAGCCCCGAACTACAGACCTCTGATTTTTTTATTGCACTATGAGGATACGTA